CTATGTAAAACACATGGCTTCTTCTGTGTATATTTTTTAAAATTAAAGACTTGCACATTTAAAAAGTGTTTTGTGGATCCAGTTTGTGAACTTATCAGCTGACAGAAGAAATGAGAGTTGAGAGGAGAAAGACCCTTTCTGCATCTGCCTGTGTCTGCATGCATTGAGGGAACGGAAGGGAGTGATACCTTCTGTGAACGCACCTTCTAGGTTTGAGATGTTTTCTGTTTGCTCTCCCTTTTGCCTGTTCTGTGCTCTGTCCAGAGTACAACAGATATGCTGGGGTTGGGGGGTGGGGTGGGCACCTCAGTACTGCTGGGCCTCGATGAGAAACTAATGCCATCTATACAGAAAAAGAGTGTATTTATGTTTATTTTGTCTAGTTTTTAAAGAGACAGATTTACCAAGGAGAAACCTTGTCTCGTGAAATAGCCTGAAAAAGCCTCTAGAGGCATCCTGGCTATTGGGTAGTAGTCTTCCAGTGCAGAGTCTTGGTGCCACCATGATTTTGTTTTCCCTTGGCGTCTGTCCTAGTTTGTTTTCTATTGCTGTTATAAACAACATGACTAAAAGCCGTCTACCCACAGGCCTGTCTGTTGGAGGCAGTTCCTTGGTTGAGGTTTCCCCGTCACATTGACAAGAAATAACCAGTACAATATTACTGAGGGAAAAAAACTAAACAGCCTTTGGTTGACTTAAAAATTACTAACTGGGAGTAGTGTTATATGTCTAGGCAGTTCGTTAGCAGCGTTTGCCACATTATGATAACAGCTAAAGGACATGTCTGTCAGAAACTTGCTTCTCTTGAATCTCCAGGTGTCGATGGTGACTGGCGCTGACAAAGTGCTTAGCATCTCTTCCTTCATAGTCCAACCATTTCCTTGTCTGCACCAACCTTTGGGTTCGGTCAGATTCTACCTGCCTGCACATGTGACATTGTTGATCACTTGAGAAACACCCAGTGCTGTTTTAATGCAGGATAATCACACGAGGCTTGTGTGGTTTCTTCTCTGCCAACTGCCATTGATGGCTAATGATACCACCAACCACCATGACTAAACACAGACCATGACAGTAGGAGGGAAAAGTAACAGGGCCTGGAGAGATGGCTTGGTGTTGAAGAGCACTTCCTATTCTTACAAAAAACAAGCACTCAAGTTCCAGAGGATCTGATGCCTTCTGACCTCTGTAGTCATACATATGGTGCACACATATAATGCAGGCAGAACACTCGTATCTTTTTAAAAAGTAATACTTGAGTTCCTAAAAGATCTCCATGCTGAAAAGACATGAATGGCCATCCTTTTGGTTGGTCCATCTCCCTTTCTGCTAGCCTTTAGCTGTGACCACCATACACCCCAGGAGTGGGAAGCTAAGTTATGTACAAAGCTGCCTCTTCATTCTGTGGCCACTGAATAAATCCTTTATGCCCAACACTCATCTCTCAGACTTTGGTTTCCTGTGGGATATGCTTTGGTATCTGTGTATGTTAGCATTATCTGGGAAACGGGCCTTCCCAGGCACGTTTGGAACTAATCATCCAGGTGGTGTAGGTAAGACAAGGCATCTCATTTCTCCTTAGGCCAAGGTCTTATGCAGGGGTGCCCTTAGTTACCTAGGGCTCAAATTCCTAGGAATAACTGTCAACAAGAAGGGATCACTGTTTACCTTGGAAAGTGATTAAGGCCGGGAGACCATGGGGACTGGAGAGATGGCTTAGTGGTTAAGAGCACTTGATGCTCTTCCAGAGGACCTGAGTTCAGTTTACAGCACCCACATTAGTGGTTACTGTGTTACTATCACAGAGGGGAAAAAGATTTGTGATGGTTTGTATATGCTCAGCCCAGAGAGTGGCACTATTAGGTGTGGCCTTGTGGGAGTAGATGTGTCACTGTGGGTATGGGCTTTAAGACCTTCATCCTAACTGCCTGGAAGCCAGTCTTCCACTAGAAGCCTTCAGATGAAGACATAGAACTCTCAGCTCCTCCTGCACCATGCCTGCCTGGATGCCGCCATGCTCTTGCCTTGATAATGGACTGAACCTCTGAGCCTGTAAGCCAGCCCCAATTAAATGTTGTCCTTATAAGAGTTGCCTTGGTCATGGTGTCTGTTGAAGCAGTAAAACCCTAAGACATTCTTCCTGGAGGAGTTTATACCAAGAGTGGGCCCAAATTTGAATTCTCCACTTCTTTTTTCTTTGGTCTGTCCCTTGCAAAAGGCTTTGCTTTATCTTTATTGAACAGCAAGGGAGACATGGTGTGGGAAAGGAACGAAGAATCTCTTAATTTTTTACTAGAGTTCACAAGGAAAGAAGTTACTTTATGAACCCTATTGATCCAGACTATCACTCAGAATCACAAAAATTAATTCTAACAACAGGATATAACTGATGATTTCCAACATTTATGGTGGATTTGATTTTAAGATTGTGTATTACTAACTTGGTTGCAAAGTCTGGTATACATTCAGTTTTTGAAGGCAATAGATTTTTTTAAAAAGCCATAATCATCTTCAACAACCACCTGTAACTCCAGCTCAGGGGGGCACCCACAGGCACTCATATGTGTAAATAAAAAAGTAAAGTTCTGGGGAGAAAAGTACAAGTTCACTTCTTCAGTATCTATTGTCCTGGGAGCGTGGTTGTAGACCAATAAACCTTGTCTATAAATGTGTGTTTCTTCTTTTGAGATAGAGAATAGTACTACGTTTTACAAGTGGAGGCACTTGGTTACCAAGAAATAAAGTCGCTTGCTAGAGAATACACATTCAAATAATGAGCCAGGAAGCAGGTTTCAGCCGTTAGACCCTGCTGTTGTTACCTTAATTTTCTTCTGTGGAGATGGGTGTGCTGCCTCAGGTTCTCAAACTACTGGTAGGAATTGAGCCCCCGGCAGAGGGGCAGCAGGTAGAAAAGGAAGCCATCTTACATCATGAACAGGAAGGAGAAAGCAAGATGCAGACCTCAAAGATATGTTCCTAATGGCCATTTCCCCTCACAAGGCGGGGTGTTCTATCACCTCAATAATCTACTCAGATTTTGAATCCATCAAGAGATGAGGTGAGAGCCCTCATGACCCGAGCATCTCTGGTAAAGCCCTCACAGACACTCAGAGGATGCTTTACTGGTCTAGCTGTTCCCAATCCAAACCAGCTTAAGTGAGCCTGCTGATTCACACATGATATTGTAGCACTGGGGGCAAGAAAAGGGGAACATGTGAGTTCAAGGCCAGACCTTGCTATGAAGTAAGATGTTAATCCCTGCCCCCCCCCATTTAGCTATTATATAAGTATAATCCTTTTTGTGAGTGCATTACCAAAAGTACAGAAACAAAAAACAAATCAACCTCTCTCTGCTGTCCAACTTCTGTCTTAGGATTTCTGTTGCTGTGAAGAGACACCATGAACACACCAACTCTTTTTTTTTTTTTCCACACCAACTCTTATAAAAGGAAAGTATTTAATTGGGGCTGGGTTACAGTTCAGAGGTTTAGTCCATTATGATTGTGGTGGGAAGCATGGTGGCGTGGAGGCAGACATGGTGTTGGAGGGTCCCCGCCCCTAGTTGGTTCTGATTGGTAAATAAAGTTGCCAGTGGCCAATGGCTGGGTAGGGAGACAGAGGTGGGACTTTTGGATTCTCAGCCAGAGGACAGGGAAAAAAAAAAAGAGTGCTGTGCCAGGCAGAAAATAAGGTCTAGGCTTGAGGGCTGCAGAATAGAGAACATGCCAATCAAGTAAGAGCTGGGGAAGCGCCTCCCCACACTGGGTCTAGGGTAGCAAAGATGGAATATAGATTTTAGAAGTAATAATTCAGGAGTATCAGAGGGAAAGTTTGGGAGTGGCCGAACCATTGAGCTGATTAAAGTATATTAAATATAAGGCAGTCGCTCTCTCTCTCTCTCTCTCTCTCTCTGTGTGTGTGTGTCTGTGTGTGTGTGTCTGTGTGTGTGTGTGTGTGTGTGTGTGTGTGATTTGGGAATCCAGGACATTGGGGCAAGTATCTCCTCGGAACTTGAGCTACCACTGTTGCTGGGAATATTTGAGAGGTTGATCGCCTACGGCAACATGCAGCACCACATAAACAGGGCATCGCAGTACATGCCTGCACTCAGCACTCAGAAGTGATGGTATCGAGGTCAGATATTCAAGGTCATTTTTGGCTACACAGGGAACTCAAGTCTAGCCTGTACATGAGACCCTTTCTGGAACAACAACAAAAACAAACGAACAAAAAAAAAAAATCCAGAGATTTGTGCAAAGTTTAGTAGTGTAAATGTAGGGGGAAGTTTGAAACAATACTAAATGGGTACAACCAAACTATGAAATGCTATTTAACCATTAAATGGTATTATAAATGTTTATTTATTAAATCCACTTATAAAAACTTGTATTTTAAAACCCAGGGAGTGTGTGTGTGTGTGTGTGTGTGTGTGTGTGTATATATATATATATGTGTGTGTGTGTGTGTATATATATATATATATCTTACATTATATGCATAGGAAATAATCAAGTATAAAATAATAACAATAGATTAAGGATCATGGGTGACTTTTAGTTCCTTCAGGTTTTTATTACATAGTATCTGTTGCTTACTTTCACTTAGAGATGAAATCCACTCTGGGGCAGCAGTTTTGACAGTCAGCCCCTCCCCCACATCTACTCTGCCTCATCCTCACATCTGCCTTCCAGGGGGATGCTAAGGAATGTTCTCCAAGGAGTCTGTTTATAGAGTATCAAACATGCTGGTGACCCCAGGAGCGCATCCAAGTCTAATGTTTAGAAATGGGAGAGTGTAGCCGCCTGCGGCCACGGACAAACTGGGTTCACCTGTAAGGGGGGCTAGAAATGAAAAAAGAGACAGAAGGACGAGAGAAGCATGAAGCCAAGACAAAGTTTTCTGATCAAGGCTCGAAGTTTAATATTCAGCTCTTCCAATTAAAGGGAAAGCCCCACCGAACAGGAGATGGGTGGGGGGACCCATCCTTTGTCACATCCTGAGATGTCTCAAGGCAAGCTCAGCGGGCAGTTATTCTTCTAAGTTCTGTAGCAGGTTGCACATGTAGCCAAGGTGGGTAACTCCACCTAGGTCTTCTTGTTTGGTCTATTGTAGTAAACAAGGTGTTTCAGACCTGCTCAAGGCTTGGGGTAGGGCACAGGAGAGGTCCTGCCTACAGCTTCTCTGATGCTTGAATCGTATGGTCAAACCTCACCCTCTGTTGTACAAGAGCTGAGAGAATCATAGTTCCACAGGAATTTCACAGTGGTGGTTTGAACAGCATTAATAATTATAATTATTAATAATTATAATTAGCATAATTGGGTTTTACTATAGTCTTCAGTAACAGAGGGGGCTATTTTTTAGATTTACCATACCCCTTCACTCGACGGCCAGCAACTTCCCAGTCCTTACAGGAAGCTCTGATGTCCAGGTGCACTGCTAAAGGCAGTTCTCCGGTCTTCGATTTGTTACATGTGATGCTCACAGCCAGAGCTGAGCAGATCAACAGGTTCACACCACTTGCCCTCTTGTGGTTTGAGGCACATCATGCCACTAAGGACATGATGACATACCTAAACGGAGAGCTCAGGGGGATGTGGGCAAGATCCCTGACCAGCTAGTGCTGGGTTCTCTCCTGCTCTGTAGATCCTGCTGTGCCCATCTCTGATCTCCAGCTTCTTTTATATGATGGGCAGACAGGAGATTTATATCATCAAATGGGTTCTGAGGCCACCAGCTACACGGACCCTGAAACTGGAACTAGCTCTGGTGTTACGGTCTGCTCTTTACCTCATTGTGCGCATACAAGTATGTTTTGTGTCAAAGAGAATTCATAAAGAAAAAGGAACTGTCCTCATCCCACCCCCACTAAAACAATACAGAGGACAATATATAAGACAACAGGAAACTGAAAAAGGAGGATCTGTCTCTTGCAAGAGATCTCTGAAGTCATGTAGTAGTTGTGGCTTCCTGGCGGCGCCATTTTACACGAATTTCTCTGAAGGTCTGGGCTTGCCTCCCTGTCTGACTAGGGGCCTGAAAGAGACACAGGAGACCAACCATCACTGTGGCAAGAACCTTTTTAAAGTAGTATCAACACACACACACACACACACACACCAGTTTTTGATGGCTCTAAGAACTTGTCCCTAGGCATTAATGAATGAATTACCTCAGCCACCCTTTCCTTTAAGTCCTCAAGGCACCCAGAGAGGGGTCTGCACTGCTCAGGAGAAGTTAAAGACCCTGCCTCTGGTCACACAACTCTCAGGTAGCTGAAGCAGGATCTGAGCCTAGTTAGGCTCCCTGGAAGCTTCTGGAGTCCCAGGAGGGTGAGATTAGAAGCTGATTGTTTTAAGTCAGCAGATGGCCTGATTCTTATCCTGGTAGCCCCAAAATTGAGAATCCAGAAGGGTGTGAGGTGCAACCTCAGCCAAACACAGTGTTGAGCTTGATGTCACACTAAAAGTGGATGATTTTCAGGACTTGGTAAGAGACCTGCATGGCTCCTTTCGGCTGAGATTCGGACCTATGATGCCTAGGGAGCTAATTTGCATAGCTCCAGGTTTTTAGGGCAAGGACCAGCTTTTCTATTTTACATTTCAAGATGAGAGTATTCAGAAAACTAAATATAAATGACTGTCTTGCAGAAGCAACCAAGTTCACTTCAGACCCTGAAAATAATGAAAACCCTCCTCAGGCTTTCCGCTTTCCGCTTTCAGCACGTCCCCTGCAACATAATCAGTCCAGCTGCTCTCCCGCTGAGCCCTTCTGTGGTCCTTCCTTTTCTCAGGAATGAATTCCAATACCTCATCAGCTTTCTGCTTCTCCTGGTTCAGGGACTGGCTGACTCCCGGTCCCCTGCCACCAGGACTTCACTGGCACGACATCTCTCTGGGAAAGATGCCCAAAGCACCAGCCATGCCACTAGGACCACGATTGCCCAGGGTGAGCAGACCTACAGTTCAGAGACTTTACTCACCTGGGACATTTGCAAACACGCCTTCGGTTCCCTAGACAAGGAAGGAGGGAGAGTGAATACCCTCTTGCAGTCTCCAGATATCATGTCAATAGCTTCCTCTACTCCAGACCTTTGAGGCTCAGAACTCTTCAGACCTGAGGTGAACACTACTTTGCCTACTCTTTCCTCAAGTTTCAATTAAAAATAAAACATTTTAGCTCAGCTGTTGTTACCCACGTCTTTAGTCCCATCACTTGGGAGGCAGAGGCCAGTGGATCTCTGTGAATTCGAAGGCAGCCTGGTCTACAAAGTGAGTTTCAGGACAGCCAAGGGCTACACGGAGAAACCAAGTCTTAAACAACAACAAAATAAATGCATAAATACATAAATAAAACATTTTAAATTTGGTTTGGTTGTCTATGCCTGTAGTCCCAGTTCTCTCTCTCTCTCCCTCCCTCTCTCTCTCTCTCTCTCTCTCTCT